ATGTGGTCTGAAGGTCAGTTTGCTGTCAAAGATCATTCCTAGAAATTTATATTGCTGAACTACTGGTATTTCTTCATTTCCTAGTTTTAGAGTTGGGTTATTGTGTAATTTTTTCATTTGGCAGAAGTGTACAGATTTTGTTTTTGATATTTTAAAAACAATTTCAAGTGTCCATTTGTTTATTTGATGTAAGCATTGTTGAAGTTGTCTTTCTGCTGTGTTGAGGTTTCTCGATCTGTAACATATTGTAAAATCATCAACATAAAGGCTACAGTGTATTCCTAATTTGATGTTTTTTATTAAGTCATTTATTTTTATTTTGAAAAGTGTAGGGGAGAGTACACTTCCCTGTGGTATTCCCTCTTCTTGCTTTTGATAATCAGAACATGTAGCATCTATTTGTACTTGGAAGAGTCTATCAGTCAAAAATCCTTTTACAAAGTTTGGTAGTCGACCTCTTAATCCTAGTTTATGCAGATCTTTCATTATACCATGTTTCCAGGTTTGATCAAATGCTTTTTCTATATCAAAGAATATGGCTATTAGATGTTGTTTGTTTAAATTAGCCTCTCTTATGGCTGTTTCTAGTCTTATTATGTGATCTATTGTACTTCTTCCTTTATTATATCTACATTGATATTTTGATACGTGTTTTCCTTCTTCTAGAAACCAACAAAATCTGACGTTGACCATTCGCTCCATTGTCTTACATAGACAGCTTGTTAATGCTATTGGTCAGTAACTTTGTGGATTGTTTCCCTCTTTTCCTTCTTTGAGTATGGAAATAATTACCGATTCTCTCCATATTTTGGGAAATTTCCCAGTAGTCCAAATATTGTTAAAAATATTCAAAAGGTATTTCAGCGATTCTTGTGGTAGTTGTTTAATAAATTCATAGTGGATTTGGTCTGGGCCTACTGCTGTATTATGGGATTTTTTTATGGCTTCTATTAGTTCTGCTTCGGTGAATAGGTTGTTGTAGGCTTCTGTATTTTTAGACAAAAAATTTAGTTGGTTATTTATATTTTTTTTGTTTACACTTTTGTAGGTTTTGATTTTTGCTCATTTTAGAGTTTTCTGCAAATGTCTCTGCTATTAGGTTTGCTATCTCTTTTTTGCTAGTTGCTTTAGTGTTGTCCTTTTTAAGATGTATTATTGGGTATATTTGATTTTTTCCAGCTATTTTTCTCATCATTTCCCATATTGTCTTGGTTTTGGAATGTGTATTTAGGCTGTTTACATATTTTTTCCAACATTCCCTTTTGGCTTCTTTAACAGTTTTCTGTGCTACTGCTTTGAGTTTTTTTCATTTCAATCAAATTTTGGGTTGTGGGTTCCTTTTTGAATTTTCGCAATGCTGCTTCCCGGTTTCTGACTGCTTTTTGGCAGTTTTTGTCAAACCAGGGTTTAGTTTTTTTATAATTATTTTGCTTTTTTGGTATATTTTCTGAGGCAATGGTTATTAATGTTTTGGTAAAGTATTCTATCGAGTTGTCTGTGTCCTTTGACTGTATCAGTAATTGTTTACATTTGTTTTTGAAACCCTCCCAGTTGGCTCTTTTCAGTTTCCATCTGCTGGGGCCTATCTTTTCTTCCTTGACAGGCTTTTGATTTTCTAGAATGATCGGGTAATGATCACTGCCACATGTGTCGCTATGTGTTTTCCATGTATAATCCATACAAATTTCTGGATCGCATATACTTAAGTCTATTGACAATTCTGTTCCATTGGAGGGATTAATGTAGGTTGAGGATTTATGATTTAATAGACATAAGTTATGGGTGTTAATTATTTCTTCTAATATTTTACCTTTAATATCTAGCTTTTTGCTATTCCATATAGGATTATGACTGTTAAAGTCTCCTAGTAAGATTCTAGGTTTAGGAAGCTGCTCCATCAAGTTGTTTATATCTGTTGTATTTATTGGTTCCTGTGGGGGTATATAAATGGAAAGAATTGTGATGTTTTATCTAGTGTCACTTGTGTTGCTATTGCTTGTAGTTTAATTTTAATGTGTACTTTACTTTGCGGTATGTCATTTCTGATCAATATTGACACTCCTCCATTAGCTCTATGTCCTGTATTGTGGTTATAGTGATATTGTTTATAATTTTTAATTTTTAAGTTGGCATTTTCTTGTAAAAAAGTTTCCTGTAAGCAGATGACGGCTGGATACAGTAGTGTTATAAGTATGAATAGGTCATTGTAATTAGATTTTACTCCATGAGAGTTCCATTGCAGGATCTTATGTGCCATGGTTATATTTTCATTTTTTTGGGGTAAAGTTACCTAATAGGTTTATATCATTTGTCCTCTTCCAGTTTTTTTTTCCATCTCTTGAGTTTTTAGAAGCTTTGTCTTCAACTGCTTGTGGTGTCCTTCGGTCAGATTTTTGGTTTTGTTTTTGAATTTTGTTTATTTTCTTTTCTCTTCTATTTCCATATATTCCATAGGCTCAAATTTATTTTCATTTGATATATTGATTCTTGATTTTGAGTTAGATCTTGATCGAGTGCTTTCTTGCTCTGTTGTCACTTTTTTGTCTTTGTTTATTTTTCATTTTCTTAGTTTGGGTTTGGGAAGAAGAGGGTTCGCTGGAGTTTTGTTCTGTGTTTTCTTTCCAAAGTTTTTTGCCTTCTTCTGGGTTTATTCAATTTGATCTGGGTTGTTGAGTTTTATTTTGATCCGATTTAAGTTCGATTAAAAAGGTTTTTAATTCTTCAAGGAAAGCTTTTAATTCCTTGCATAAATTTGTTATTTCAATTGAACTGTTTATTTTATCTTCATTGTTTATTTTATTTGCTTTTTGTGCCATGGAAGCATAGGTGTTTTCTTTTTATGTTATTTTTAACTTCCTTTCGTGCTTCTATGAAAGATATATTTTTTTTGTATTTTATTCTAATTATTTCTTTCTCCTGTTTATATATACTGCCTTTTTTTGAGAGGGCAGAGTGGTTTCCCAAACAGTTTGAGCATAGGCTCTCATTTGGGCAGTTCTTTATGTTCTGGTTCTTTCTCACTACATTTTCCACATATTTTTTTATTTCTACAGGAATCTCTGTGATGCCCAAATTTGTGGCATCTATAGCATTGAAGAGGGCTTGGTACGTATTGTTCTACTTTTATACTTTCATATCCAATTTTAATTGTTGTCGGAATTTGGGGGGAGTTGAAAGTTATAATGTAGGTATTAGTTTGTATCTCTGCTTCATTTTTCTTTATTGTGATTCTTTTGACTTTTTTAACTCCTTGAGTTTGGAGTTCTATTTTTATCTCCTCTAGAGTGCACAGGGAGAGCTCCTTGCTTTTTACTACTCCCTTTGAGAAATTTAGGGTTTGATGGTAGGATTTTATTTCTATTTCTTTTGTTTTTTTTGTCTTATTAATGTGTCCCATATATATTTTTTTTTTCCACTTCTACTAGTAATGTTCCATTTTGTAATTTTTTTACATTTTTGGTATAATGATATTTGATATTGCTTTTGTATTTTAAATGGAGAAATTTCTGTTAATGCTTTTTTTTTTTGCTTATTGCTTGAGTACAATAAATCGTGGAAAGTTTTCACTATCATTTTCTGTTTTTCAGTCATTATCCACATGTGGTCTCTTGGAAGATTTCTTTTTTTCCATTGATTGTTTTTATTTTTGTTCATCATTCTCTCTCCCTACCCACCGGAGTCCAGTATTGGGACATGACAAAGGGAAAACCCATTCGCCTTGCCATGTCGGGGCTACGTGAATGATATACGCTCTTTGGGAGGAGTCTTTGAGCATGCATGTTCCTTTGTTTCCGTTTTCCAAGTATTACAGCTGTGAAGGTTTAGCAAGTGTGTCAGATCCTTTTTTTCTCCCAAATTGATTGACCCTCAGCCACCGCCTTCCATCACATATTTAGGGTTAAGTGTTAGTTTTGCTTGGGAAGAGGAGTGTCAGTTATAGGTTTGGGATGGATTATATATGATGGGGCTTGACATGACCAGCTAATTGATCAGATTGGGCCCCTCCGACCGCCCATCTAGCCCAGGTAAGGGCCAAAGTGGTGTGTTACAGGATTGTGACCGCTTTACACCTGAGTTACAACCTGCTCAACCACCAGGATCCCGTCCCCAGACATTACGGGTCGCCACCCACGGCCAACAGGTTGCCCCATTGAGGGACTTTTACCCTCTGCAGGGGGGCAGTCAGCGTATTCTGATGCCCCACCGACCGGGCTTTCCCATCCACGTATTATACACACTCCCATGTATCATACACTCACACACACAGACATCCATAGATATATGCATTATATATATATATATATATATATATATATATATATATATATATATATATATATATATAACAGCAAAATTGTCGAATTCGTCAAACATCATGTGATAATTATCCATCCCACAAAATGTTTAATATTTAAAAAAAAAAAAAAATAACAACTAAACAAATTGATTTTCTTTTTTTTTTTTTTTTCTGATTTTCAAATAACACGTTTAACCACTTTGGCACATTTTATCATAAGAATCCTTGAAAAGCCCTTTGAGTCATTCAACTAGAAAAAGAACAGGTAAAATATAATTTTGTGTCAACCCCACTATGTCTTTCCAACTGAGCAATGGTGAGAGGAAAAAGATTATTCAGGCCTTCAGTAATGGTACTACAATTCATACTCTGGCTTCCATCTTCAAAGTTTATTCAAGAACCATGAAAAGAATGGTGAATAAGTTTAAATAAGAGGAAACAGTAGAAAGAAAAACAGGAGGTCACTACATGAATCAGCCATCATTTCAACTTAATGCTAAATACATTCTTATTGCTCAGAGTAGAGTCTAATAGTTTTATCAAAACCTCAGAGAATTCCAGTAAGATATCTAATCATTTCTAAGATACAACGGTTCAAAACTTAATCTAACAATTAGACAATTTTGTTGTTACACCCGATATATATGCATACATATGTTATACAGACACTACACAGACACAAAAGAAAAAATATCCTTCTAACCTTTAGTGCTTTCACAGCTTGAGAACCACTGTAGTCAAATTCACCTGCCTGTCCAATGGAAAGTCCTCCACTCCCTAGCACAAGGACCTTTCCTACCTGGAAATACAAAATGAAAAACACATTAGTGATCAAAATTTATTGTTAAACTATTTGTCTGTAATTTACATTTATAAAAATAGAATCATGAATCAAAAGAACTTTCTCATACATTCATTTATATTATTAGCTTTTTGAAGAGCCTTGAAATTTGAAGAGAGGAAAAAAAAAATCAGTATTGGCAGCTGAACAGTCTACCGCACTGAGCAAAATAAAGGGTTCAGTTCGACTTTCCAACCACCTAAAGAAGGCCAGAGCATACAACGGGCGAAACGTTGTAATAAATATGGTGACAAAAATGAGGACAATAGTTCGAATAATGTAAATAGTGTACATAATACCTCATCTCAGAAATATAAACTTATTTTTAGAGGAAGTGTATCTCAGCTTCAACTTCCGGCCTTCTTCAGCTGAGGTCAGAAGGGACCAATAATAACGAAGTTGATTTTGATTGTCCAAGCTAGCTTCAGAAAGGGATAGGACAAGGGTGTTGGCGAGTTGTTTCTTACCCATCCAGAGATGTAGATGTATTCTCTTTCGTGTCTGAAATGGCTCTTCAGGAAGGGGTGGGGGGGAATCTCGACCTCCCCTAATGGATAGTAGGATAATGTATATGTTGACATGATTAATAAAAATAGTTAACATCCTCTGAGTTCGGAGTCTTTCATTGCTGAACGAAAATAAGTGATTACCGGCCGTGAGAAAAAGACGAGCCGAGATCCTTCACTGTTGTCAATATACAACATTTTGTCATTCAATTACCCACAAAAGAAATTGCAACTTTTCTCTAAATAACAGTACTTGAGATTAATGAATAAATAATTGACCGACTTATTTACATTAAAGAGACAATTACGGAAAAAATTACCTTATCAGGTTGAGGTACTGCAGACACTGGCTTCATCACATGATAGACAGACTGTTCTTTATTTCGCACCATGTCCATGAAATAATCAAACAAAAACTGGAAAAACAGAAAAAATTAACATCAGAACAAAACAGTTTTTGATTAAGAGGAAAATTATATATTCATTTTAGATGACATTTTTGGGTGGTGGAGACTTTACAGCAGAAAGGATAATTCAGTTCTACATATAGTTTCTTTTTTGATTAAACTATTTAGTTTTAATATACACATAAGAGAGAGAGAGCGAGAGAAAGAGAGTGAGAGAAAGAGAGAGAGAGAGAAAGAGAGAGAGAGAGAGAGAGAGAGCGAGATTTCATTTATAGTTATCTTACAAGCACTGTATACTATAATTGAGGAAAGCAAGGTGTGAGAAAGAGGCAGAAATAAGGATTAGTTGAACAGGCGTAGAAGTTGATCCATTGTTTACTGTTTCAAATGGGGCTTCCAGTTCATTCTAAAATCTTTAATTCTCTTCACCCCAGTAGCCCTATCCATCTTATTAAAATTATGGCCTTGCTTTGGGTGAATTGATTAAAACACACACACACACACGTGTGTGAGTGTATGTGAGAGAGAGAGAGTGAGTGTGTGTGTATTTAGGCAGTATATTTTCATTCAAGCAGGTTTGATTAAATAGCATAAACACATGCACTCTCAGCTATAAAAGTGAATGCCCTATTAGAAAATAGCTATTAGACAAAACTTAAACCATGCAAAAGCAAACTTTTCAACAAGAAAGATTTTCTATACCGAGTTAAAAAATATTAAATAAAAAGCCTCATTAATAATGACTTACCTAATTACATCATTGATAAACAAATTAGACAAGCTATTGGGAATATAAACATAATACATCCTCAAATAACTAAACATATCAAACTACTAGACCATAATCAAATGCATTTTAACTATAAGCAGGAGGAGAAGAGGGAAAAAAATATAATTTGCTCACTGATCTAAGCAAGAAAATAAAATTAATTATATAGTATACTAAATTTAATACAATCAACCTAGTCGCCAAAAACAATTCTTCTCTGCCAACTAACATCTTACAAAAGACCCACATTGTATATCAATTTAAATGTCCTTTGGAAGATTGCATCTCTGATAAAAATGTTAATATGTATTTTGGCTTTACAATGACATTGACAAGATAGTTTACATTTCACTTGAATGACCACAGTTCAATCTCAGAACATTTAAAGGAACACTCATGTCCACATTCATAATTTAGACATTAGTTCAAAATATATTAGTACTTCATGAAAAAATAAGCAAAAACTTAAAATTCTGGAAGCCCTTTATATAAGAGGATTAATAAAGTCAACTATGATAGTATAGCAACAAAGTTCTTAAATGTTTGTAGCAGTAACATTTTATATAAAAAAATATTAAATTTAAATATTAAAATTTTAAAAAATCTTTATTTTATTAAAAAAATTACAAGAATTATCTCACTTGCAAAAATGAAAATTTTGAAATTGAGAATCTGTAAATGAACAGAGAAAAAAATATATTATATTTGCAGAGCTACAGGATACACATCCATAGATATTTTAACCCTGTGGAAGATGGTCTCAGGTTAGACTGAAAGTACTTGAGAAGATAAAAAATTATTTGAAAGAAAATTTTTGTATTTTTCTTGAACAATTTTCTACATCCACCAAGTAATTAATTTGTGGACTTGAAAGGATTAAAAGTAAAATAAACAGACACATACACACACGCATATAGATAAGTGAGAGTGAAAAATAAGCTGAGAGAGATAAATAAAGTAAAAAAAAAATCAGGTGGGGAGGCAGAGAGAGAAATAAATTAAGAGAGAAAGAGAGATTTATAGAGCTAATGTTACAATAAATCTAACTTAAACTTTACAATTGGATATTTTTTGTCTTAAAATTCATTATTTCTGTGCTATATTCCTTATGCATATGAACAATCATGGCTCTCCAGAAGTACCTTATTTTGTTCTACGTAACTCTTGTCCCTTCATCATCCCTCTTTGTCTATTCTGCCATCTCATCATACAAACCCCTTAAATAATTTACACACTATTTCAATGTGCTTCTACAATCTTCAAGACATCAAGTTCTATTCTAAATCTAAATTCCCCTCCAAAATAAATAGTAAATAATTATTTTTTGAAGCAGCAAGTTTCACTATAGTTTGTTAGAAAAAAATGATTAAACTAAATTTTTAAATATATCTTAATTTATTTAGATGTTTTTAAGTAAATAAAGTTTTACTTTTAAACATTAAAAAGTGGTCATTTCTCCATAAATGAATTTAATTACTATTTTGAAAGAGAGTAGAAGCAAGATACATTGAGAATTTAGTTTTGAAAAACAATTATGTTTAAATTTCAAGTTATATTTGTATTTAAAAAGAAAAAAAAAAGAAAAAAAAAACTTTAGTTAAATAAAAATTAGAAGTGACAGAAACGAGTTAAAGTCAGCATTAGTCGTGTGGAATATTTGTTTTATGAATTTAACTATATTTTATTTAAATTAACTTTTCAAAAAATAAGGCTCTATAGTTTTTTGCTTCAATAAAGCATAATTTAAAATTATTTACTTGTTATGTTAGTTACAAACCAAAATAAACAATGAAGTTTATATTTTAAAGATTGAATAAAAAATTATTATCCATAAGATGGTTGAAAAATATTAATAAGTCAATAATACACACATATATACTGACAACTGCCCTTTATGGTGATACTTATAGTCTGTATATATCTTTATTTTGTCATTAATCATTATAGTTTTAACTTGTAATGAGTTGGTCGGTCAACTTGACACCCCCAAAGTGAGTGGAGGTGGGCAGGTGTGGGAACTGTGATTGGTAGCTGGCTTGTTGATGTTTTGCATAGGTGAGTTACCAAGCTCTATGTAAAGGGCTGGAATGAGAAGGAGGGCAGTGTTTTTCAGTCTCAGAAGTGGAGACTGTGTCCGTCGCTACGACAGCAGGAGAGAAAGAGACGAAATCATTTATTTTTTTGTGACACATTCCAACACAGGCTATTTCGGCATTTACTTTGTCTCTAGCAAGATGGCGGAAAGACTGTTTGACATAAAACTGATCTCCGAATTCAGTGGTGATACGAGTGGACAGTCATGTGTAAAGTTACTTTAACAGCAGTCACCTGTAAAACAGTTGTTAAATTTATTTTACTTTAAGGTAGATTATTCCTAACTAGAATGGATATATCGACTGACCCTTCGAAGCCCAGCGCCATATGTGTCGTTGTATTGATGGCGTGCCTCATCATGTTAAAGACTTGCGGCCAGTTGTAGGGTTAAAACCGTCATCAGATGATGAAAGTGACTCTGAAGATAGTACACGAGTGGTGTATTTAAAGTTGGATCCACTGAGTTCTACCTCAAACATCAGTACTCTACCTACAGACGTCAACGTGGCCAGGTGTCCAGAGGCAGATGGTAGCTCAACAGATGAGAGTTCATCCAAGGATGAGGACCCTGTCATCCCGCTCAGAAGGAGTGCCCGGCAGAAGAAGCCTGCCCCGAGTTGCATGGTGTGCGATCATGTCAGCGAGACACGGTATGAATCTGGAAATCTGCCACCTCGGAGCAAACGAGTTCGCGCATGTGTGGTTATCCCAATATGTCAAGCGTGCAAGTTGTATATATGCGGACGCAGTCACCAGACAGACGCAAACATCTCTCGAACTGAGAATCTTTGTGATCTTAAGATCAGGGGGGCGTGTAATGAGTTGGTCGGTCAACTTGACACCCCCAAAGCAAGTGGAGGTGGGCAGGCGTGAGAACTGTAATTGGTAGCTGGCTTGTTGGTGTTTTGCATAGGTGAGTTACCAAGCTCTATGTAAAGGGCTGGAATGAAAAGGAGGGCAGTTTTTTTCAGTCTCAGAAGTGGAGACTGTGTCCGTCGCTACAACAGCAGGAGAGAAAGAGATGAAATCATTTATTTTTTCATGACACATTCCAACACATAACTTAACACACACAATCGAATATTGGAATAAATAAATATTAAATTTTTTTGTCAAATGATTATATTTAATATTATTCTTTTAAATTTATATTGTTCTTTTAATATTCATTTTTCTTAAAGTTCTGCTTTTATTGAGTATAGATGTGAAAATAAATTCAAGAGAATAGGAATTTTCAAAATACATACATGTATAGTGTTTCAAAAGTACCAGCAGATTTAGTAAAAATGAATAATAATAATAATAAATACAATACATACAATAATTTTTTTATAGAAAAGCTGGCTTAGGTGATAATGAGTCAGTACATATATTTATTTTGTTGTTAACTATTGTAGTTTTTTTAGTTTTATCCAGACACATACAGACAACTGCTCTTTATATACGTATAGATGCTGATATCTTTGAGAGAATCAGGTTTCATTATGCAAATAAATTTATATTTATAAATACGTTCAACAGATGTAAGCTGTAGAAACATATTTCATTAGTACGATATCTCATATAATAGAAGCTTGAATGTTGTATGCCTTTGAGATAAATATATATAGTGTGTAAAAAAAAAAAAAAAAAAAAAGTTTTGTTCAAAAGTTTTGTTGATATATATATATATATATATATATATATATACACACACACACACTAGCCAAATTACCTGCATCTTGCTATGTGCCACACATTTTTTGTAAGAAAATGTTGATTGATTTTAAATCATTGTTATAATTTAGGGAGAAAAATGATGCATTTCAATATTACTCAATGATGTGACCTCCATCTTCTGACTTTCTCATTTGGATAGGAGTCATTCACTTGCTCAAATTTAAATTTAATTTAAATCAAAAGGGAAAAAATTTTCAGTGGGTATGTGCAAAAACAGCTTGATCTGATCCCTTTGATATGCATTTGATGCAATACTTGAATGGTATGAATTGATAAGCAGATTTCAACACTGATATGACAGTTGAATTGTCACAACAAATTTGTATTGTAATGTACTACCCACTGATTGGTGATTTCTTGCTCAATTTGACATCCATATTGTCTCATTTTGATCTTGCCAATGTGACCTCCATCTTCTGGCTTTCTCCTTCTATATTTTGGATAGGAGTCATTCCCTTGTTGAAATTTAAATTGAATTTAAATCAAAAAGGGAAAAATTTTCAATGGTTGGGGTTTGTGCCCCCAGGGACCCCTTTGATCAAAATGAAATATACTTATCCAAATACCCTGGGTAAGGTAATTTAAGAATATGTTTATGGAAACCATAGGAGGAGTTCAATAACAGACAGACAGGTAAAGTTACAACTTGTATATCTCAAATACATTATTGTAAAAATCTTCAATAAAAACAATATGCATATTTATCATATCTATATATGTTGGTTTCTATCATAAGAAAATTTTTTTTTTAACAGAAAGGTTCACCCTGTAAAGGTTGGGAGCAGGGGGGGGGGACTTGAGGTAGAGGGTTACATTAAGGAGTAGTTTATATGGGTAGGAGAGGAAAATAACAATTAACCCTAGACTTGAACAGGTTGAGATTATAGTAATCAGGGAAACATCCTCTTGGGAGTCTGTTCCACAGGGCAGTGGTTCACAGAGAGAAGCTGTTTGAATGGAACTTACTTCTCATTGATGGAATACAGAGGGAATATAGGTGGTTTGCCACTATGTAAGGGGCAGGGTTAGGGTTTTAGCCATGAAGGTTAAACATTGCGGAACCAAGGAATGTAGTCAGTCCAAGCACTTTCCATGACAATAGTGAAAGAGCAGTGAGAGACTCGGTACATTTCACCTATGAAAGAGGCTGGAAGGTACAAAATAATTCTTCACCAACAAGGACTCAGAAATGCTTTTGAACTTTATCAAAACTGGAAAGTGAGAACTGCGCAGCTCCCAGCCAAATATGGCAAGAGTACTCCATTTCCAGCCTGATCTGGCACTTATAAAGATAGAGAATAGCATGATAAGTCAGGTACTTAATGGAGCAGTACAGGAGCTGATCATTTTACCCCTATCAATGGATCATATATAAGAGTTCCACTTGACATCAGGTGTGAGCTTCAGGTCCAATATTTTCTCAAGGCACGGTACCTCCTTGAGGGGGACAGCCATTCATCGCAATTGCTGGTCGTTCAGAGACTTCTAAAATTTATAGACAAATGCATGCTAGAATTTCTTCCTAGCCAAAAAAAAATGAACAATTCTTGGTCTTACTCACATTATTTTTCTTTATTACCTTGAAGCTAGAAGGCTACAATCACTTGACTGTATCCCTTTGGCATGTGAACACTTTCTTTTTTGTTAGCTTTTACTGTTACTGCCTTATAGTTACTTTCCTTTGCCTTACATTGTCTTGTATTATTTTGCTCAGCTCTTCTTCCTCTTGTTATTGTTATCAAGAATTTTGTCACTTCATCTTAACTGTACCTGCTTTCCTATCAATATGTAAGAATTTTATCAACATTAGTTGATGACTTAATTTCATTATGCAAACTTAATTTTCATAATTAAATCTGTGTAGATCAATTTTTTTTTGGTTGAGCTGAGAATTTTTCAGCATTCTTTTGTATTTAAAAAAATAAATAAAATATTGTTCTGAAAAGAAATTTAAAAAAAAAAAAAAAAAAAAAATTTAAAAAAAAAAAAAAAATTATCCTAACCTCAGTGTCTGTGGGTCCACCCCAGGCTTCTGGATGGAACTGAGCTGTGAATATTGGACGGGTTTTGTGCATAATTCCCTGAAAGGGGGAAGAAAAAAAAAATCATTTTAACAGAATAAAACTATTTATACCAGCGAATATCAGTTACAGATAACAATCAAATAAAATCATTTAGCATACACCAAATATATTCAATACACAGATATAAAATCCTGTTGACCAGTTCCTCTCCCACAGAAAATAATGGAAGCATAGTATTACAGTAATTGGAGTAAAGTCTCTCTCAAGTAAACACATACACACATAATTTGAAAGTAAAAGAATCAGTTGTTAACAGGAACTACAGGTGAGTAACTTTGTGCCTTTTGGGGCTTGTGGGGTCACTCGCATCATACCAGCAAGGATAGCCTCATGTTCACAAGAATAAAAACATACAAAGAAATAACACTAAAACAAGTTAAATCATAAATTAAAATCATGTGATTTTGTTTATTTCTGTGTACTTGTGTGTATTTCAGCTATATGTGTTTTAAGGTTGCATGTAACAGAGAAAGAAAGTCACTTTGACTTAAGAAAAACAAGGTGACGAGGAGAGGAAATGGACATCTTGACCCTTTGACGGTCCAAAATGAAGAGAGTGCCATCAGCATTTTTTAGGCAGAAAGTATCAGACAGGAAAGTTTTCATTGCATGCTGGGAAATTTTTTCTTATTTTGGTCTTATTTATTTTAAAGCAAGTTTTAATGTTATTTGTTTTATTTTATTTATAATTATTATTCTATTTTTATTTATTGATAATAATGTCTCTACAGGCTCAGGTTTTCCACTGAAATGAAGTGTAAAGATTATATTGAATAACTTGTTAGGTCTATTGCTAGAAAAGTTGGTTCACTGTGTTGTACCAAACATTTTTTCTTGTCAGAATTTATGGTGTATATTTAGAAATCTACCATTCACCATATTTAATCTGATGAACATACTATATATCTTGAGATTATTCACAAAATTCAAAAAAATAAAAGGTCTGTAATGTAATCAATCCTAACCTAGCTCTTGACTCCAGTCACTTTCCTACCAATGTGATATGGCTTCCCTCTGTCTTTTCTACAAATATTTTCAAAGAAATTGTTCTGATGAGCTTTCTTCCATGGTGGCTTGACTGCATGAATTTAAGCCATACTATTGGATTAGCAGTTAGGTCTAACCATATTACTGTTGAACTAGCTAGATGGAACTGTATGTACTATTCTAATCGTTTCCTTTCTTGCACTTCTCACCTGTGGAATGCTCTTCAAATTTCTTGCTTCCCTCCCACTGACAACCCTCAAAAATTTAAATGCAGTGACAATCACCATCTTCTGTGTCACTGAATCCTTATTGCCATTTCTCCACACTTCTCAATGTTTTCTCATTCTCTTTCATTCCCACTAACACCTTGCAGCTTAGTAGCATTACCACATTGCTGGGAGTGAAATGATTTAAAAAAAAAGAAAAAAGATTTCACATTTACAGATTGACAGACCAAAATTCCTGCCTTGCTTCAAGTTAAAATTCTGAATATTGGCTTTCTTTTTTTTAATTTTATATCTAAAAATTCTATCACCTGAAATTTATTCTGGTGCCATAATATTGTATTTCTGTCCATTTTCACTGAAATTTATTTCTTCTTATTTTATTTCTGCAATGTTCTATAATGACATTCAAACCTTTTCCTTTTATATGCCGTGTCCATTTCAGGATGTGAGCAATCATAGTTCCCCCAAATTTCCTGTTTATTGTTTGGTTTGTTTTGTTTTACAGGATATCAACCTCAATGGGTTATTTAATGCCGACAATATTTTTAGGATAGATTTGTATGAATAGAGTATGTATTCTTTGGTTTAGATTGGTTTGGATTATTTTACAGCATATCAACCTCAGTGAGTTATTTAATGCAGACAAAACTTTTATTTCTGGTAATATGTTTTTCTTTAAAAATCTAATTTCTGGGAATATTTTTCCTTGAAGAAATCTATCACTGGTCATATTTTTTCCAAAGAATGTATAGCTGTTTGTATTGCTGGTGTTTTTTTTAAAGTATTGCTGATAATAATTTTTCCTTCAAAAATTATTGCTGGTAATATTTTTTTTTTCTGGTATTAAAACTTATTTTTACACAAGTTTGGGTGTCAACTATTTGACCATAGTTGGAACCCTACAACAGATATTACATAACAGTTCAGTACTGTTTTCTTTGTTTCTAATGAAATTTTTCTGTCTCTTAATACTTTTCTTAGCTTTTGGAAGGCTTCTTTTGCTATCCCAAAATGCTTTCAAATCTCACTGTTGCGCTTTCTGTCCTCTGTTAAAAGACTTTCTGGATATTTAAATTTTGTACATGTTTGATTTTGATATCTCCAATTTCTAATTTGCATGTTGGACTGATCCTTTTGCTGACAATCATTCATTTTGTCTTTTTGCAACTGATGCTTAATCATTTCTTCTCGCTTTCCATAAAAGACTAATTTTCTATTTTGGGTTTGGCCCATTTTTTTTTTTTTTTTTTGCACCTATATAACACTAACAATCTGATTTTGTTTATTTCTATATAACATCTAATTAAGCAGAATTGTATATTGTAGCCTAGATTTACTGAATTAAGTTATCCCCTAAAATGTGTCAATGGCAAAACAAGAGCAACCTTGGTCAGACATGGAAGTACCATGTCACCCATATTGTGTATGGGTGAATAAAAAGCAAGCAGATTAAGACATTTTGCATGGAGCCAAGCACAACAGGTCTGGAGGATATACCACATAAACTTCCACTTCAAACATTTGTAACATGTCATTCAAACAAGCCAGATGCTCACTGAAGCATTGTGCTGTAGTAGTTTCACTAAATTCCTGAAAATCATAAAAAATTCATTTTGGGATCCCTCACCAAACACAAAGAACTGTTCTTCCAGTAGATTCTGTTTATGCTAAGATGTTAAAAGATCGATTGATTGAGCCAGAAAATATTTTTAAATTATAAGAATATTTTTTTACTTTTTGGAGATATTAATGACGTAGTGATACAAATCTTACTAATTAACCCATAACTGGGGAGAGAAGAGATGGATTCATACTTAATCAGAATTTGATAATCAAACAAGAAATTATAATGTGGATATAAAGTGAGGGTTTAATTCTATATTACAACAAATATATAGATTGATCCCTCATTTTTGTGGCTAAGAGTTTCTATACATTTATATTACAGAGAATGTAAATGAATATAAAAGACATGTCTTTGTAGCAAATCAGTAATTTATTGATTGTGCTACGGGCCAGTGTATGCATTGAGAGATAAACACGTGTATCTCCTGAAATGCCCACAATAAACATGGCAGACTCAGGATGCGAGTCCACAAAGAAATGTGAAGAAATGACAAGAACCAATATATATGTACAAATAAATGATAATGTATTAACAACAAATGATTACAAGGGACAAAGACATGTGTTAAATGAATGTGAAAACCGTTTTGGTCCAAAGTATATGTAGTGAGTGAATGTGTGTATATACACATGTGTATGTATGTATGTATGTATTGTTCCTGTTTCCCAAAATTGAACATGTTCTTCCGCAAGAGATTTACATATTGTCATATAAACAGAAAAGTAAGAAGAGAATGATAAAATTTTATCACAGAGTATTTATAGTCCTGAAAATGTCCCCTAGTAGCAGTTTTGAAAATTAGGAGGAGGTAACCAAACAGTACATTAGCAAGAATAAACTTTGAAAACTTGTGCATTTTATACATTTTGACTAGTTTTTCGGCCACACAAAAGAGTTAATTCAACAATAGCTATACTGGTGGGTGCGACAATTGGTTGATTCATTTTCTATGGCTTATCAACCCTTTGCAGATTATTTAAAGCCAGAAAATATTTTTATATTGTAAGAATTCTCTCTGATTAATAATTCCAAACCATTACCCATTACACTACCCGCATATCCAAGCTTACAGCACCAGGTATTCCTAAGCGGTCACCCATCTTGGTACTGACCAAGCTCAACATTGTTTAACTTTGGTGACTGTACAAGAACTAGTTTTTCACTGTGATATGGCTATAAGCAGATATTAAAAGCTAGATATCACTATGATTTTCTGAGTTTTGAATCCTTGTGATGAATCAATTTTTTTTTTTTTTTATTTCCAATGACCATCTTAATAAACACACACAGGAAGACAAATGTCTTAATGCTGATATTCTTTTTCTCTCAGTACAACCCATTCTAGTTTCTGAATAAATGAATGTCAGATCAACTTTTAAAACAGTTTTAATCCACTCACCTCATTTGTTTTGTCATTAGCATTGACAAATAAAACCTGCCAATCCGGGGGAAGAGATGCATTGTCGATGGCAAAGCCATGGTTTTGTGATGTGATGAATGCCTGATCATTAAGAACATTTACAACAGGCTGATTATGGCCACTGAAAAAAAAAAGGACATTAAACTTATCAAGATATTGTTATGACAAGAAAGCATATTCGGTGGAAGAGAAAGGTGTCCACTAGTCAGAAAGAATAAGTAACAACAAATATATTTTGACAAATTCTTTGTCACCCGATACATTCAGGGGACAGTGGGGAGTTGGCATGCTCCTCTTAAAACTTTTGAGAAATTTCTGTTGAGCAATCAAGCACATCCTTAAGTTTATAAAAAACATTGAATGAGGCACTCAACGAGTGAAGACAGATTTAACACAATTGTAGGTTCACAAAGACCTTCAGTTCGACTATGATAAAGTAAATGCTCTGTTTTTAATTAAACAGTATTAATTACATTTACTGGTCTGAATGTTCAAGAAATTTTGTAGAAAATATGCATTCTCCAAAAGGAATTGAACCTGTATTCCTGTATGAAAGCCATTACTTGGCCTGACAAGTTGTACCATTCAGCTACAGAGAAGCATCTGGTTAACAAAGTCTGAATTACTGTTTATAAACACACAAACTTTGACGATTTTTCTCAGTTGTTCATTTCTGCTCACAAAACAATGACAACATATGAAATGGATTAAGTCCAACAATTATTTTAATTATTTAAGTATAGGAATACAAGTTCAATTCCTGTTGGAAAATGCATATTTTCTGTGAAATTTTCTTGAACATTCAAGGCCAGTAAATGTAATTAATACTGTAATTAAAAACAGATTATTTACTTAAATAACTTCTATCTATAAAAATAATGTTTAAACAGAAAATATGTTTGTGTGTATATATATATAAGAGAGAGAGAGAACACGCTACTCATTTTCTATAACCTAATCTATATGATCACAGAATTTAAAATTTTGAATTGAGATTTTCACTGAGGAACATGTCCCCAATCCTAACTGAAAATACTAGATCCACACTTGACTTTATGACAATAAAATTCTTTTCAGTTACCACTAATAATAATAAATAATTTTATTAGTGAAGTCTTTAGACACTTTGAATTTTCTGCTTAATTTTAATTCTTAAGTAAATGATTGAATAAGAATCCTTGTCAGATCCATGAATATAAATTACTCATAGAAATTCCCTTATTGCATCCTAGAATATTTTAGCTTAACAACTTAAAAAAAAAAAAAAAAAAAAAAATTACAATAACAACTAATTCATTATTTAACTCCTTTCTGGCTAATTATTTTGGGAAAAACATTTCATTTTCAGACAATTTTTTTTCTTTGTTTTTACTATGATAACTAAGAAACTGAGGCACCTTCAAGTACCCGAGCCATGGCTAACACCTCTACCAGACATATGAGTTGACAAGTGGACTCATTTAAAGCTTAGAAAGGTATAAAAAGAATCAAGATCAACATATAAACATGTCGGTAGCTGATTCTTGAAGGTTATGCTTTGGATGTGTTTATTTGCCTGTGTCTGAAAAGACACTTTTGGTGAAAAAAAATGTATATAGGGGTTAAAGAAGTAAGCGGTTCGAGTTTTTTGGGGGTTTTTTTTTCGTCAACCCTTCATGGGTTATTTAGAGCTGAAACATTGTAAAAATACTGTATATAATCGTGTATAAGCAGACTTTATGTATAGTGTACCATTTGAATATTTTTGCATGAATTTTAACCCATCCAGGAAGAGGTTACAAATGAAAGGATTAAAAATTAACAAGGTTTTTCCATTTCACTGGAGCAGATGTTAAATGCATGAGAGCATTATCACTTGCTCTATTGCCTCTTTATTTATTTCTTTTCACACCCATATCCACTTCCTTACTTTCCTGTTTATCTTCACGGTAATTTTCTTCAGCTATCTGAACTGTTTGCCATGCATAACTTTAGTTCATCAGTTTCTATGGCTGGTATCTTTGTCTACTCCATCAATATTTGTATTGTAAATCCTACCATTGCTATCATGAAATAAGTACATACTCACTCACAATATTATACCTTCATTTCTAGCAACATATATATGCAACTTTGAAATGAGTTAATCACTGTACACCAAATTGAGACTAGCCAGAAGTAAAAAAAAAAAAGTGCTTTAGGGATTTATTCTGCTATATCAAGAATTTGTGGGCAGGGAACAGGCAGGTTTTATAAGGCATAACATATCTGCTAACAGAAAAGCAAGCAGAATTATAATATGTCATGATGCCATAGCAGGTATGGCTTTCATGGCTTATGATCGTATTTGATTGGTGGTCTTAACATGTATTATGCTCAAGAAAATCTAGTACAAAAGGAGTATCATACAATCCTTTCTTTCTGAAGCTAAAAAACAATACACTCTTAAGTATAATATGATCCCATATTACAGAGATGTGAAAAGTTTTTTTTCAAAAGTTGTACCATATTATCCATTTAAATCTCAATACCATATATATTTATAGGAGGTATGGGGGAGTAATGGATAGTGGCTCAGATTAATGAATCAGAGTGACGAATTCTAATTTCAGTCAGGCCCATTACATTCACTTACGTGCTTGGGAAAAATCCTCTTCTCCCCCATCTATGGCTAAATAACAGGACAGACTGGTTTCTATAGCCTTGGGTGATAAATCTAGGAGAAGTTAATTCTGAATTCAAAACTGGCCTAGAGAGTGTTTGGATCTGCTAGGCTATCTTGCCCAAGAAACACCACTTCTACTTGGCTGCAGTACCCTATGACCCTGATGGGTCACAGGATTTATATGCACATACATTTTATATATATATATATATATATATATATATATATATATATATATATATAATTTCATTAAAATATTTAATCTTTTATGATATTAAAGAATAGAAATGAAACCAATAGGTGTTGAGTGTTTTTTCTAATTTCCATTTCAAAACTTATTTTCGAATTTTCAGTGTTAACTAGACATGCCCAATAATACATTTTAATTAATTAATCTATCATAATTTTCTGTTTGAAATGACTATTATATTTCTATATATTAATAAACTGTGAAAATAAAAATAATGTCTTTCATTAAGAATGAAGAGAGAAACAAATACTGTTGATATATCAAGAACCTTTTTTTTTTTATACAATTGTCAACACTTGCTGACTGTGTTTTATCTATTTTTTTTGAGTGTACTTGTAATGTTGCTGTTTCAAATAAGAAGTTTTTAAGCTGAGTCAAAATTTCTGAAAATATGTACTCATCTTTAATATTACCCCCACCTTTTTGCCTTTAGTTTTTGTTTAAAATTTTTCATATTATTCACATGATACATGTTTTGTTTTGCCAAATTAAGATGGGCAACAGTAAACATCTCATTTAGTACAGAAGATTTACTTGTCAGTTTCCTGACCATAACCAGTTAGGCATGTTCTCTCAGAGCACCACAGCTGAGTGATGGGAGCTGTTTTTTGTTTTATTTTTTTGAATGAAGAGTCAGCCAAGACAACTTGGGAGCTACAACTAGATACTTGGTAACATCTTCAATTAGAGACTATATCGGCAGATTGGGTTACTGAATATGAAGATATATCTAACAGTAAAGTTATGCAAGACCTATATCGTGTCTTTTACATTTTCTACACAAACTGGACGTTGATTGTCCAACAATCCAAAGGAGACTGAAAATACTTTGGGCATTGGCTCAACACATGCATTTGCTTTAATCGAAACAAAATTAATATTATATTATGACCAGTTAGAGCCACGCCTGCTCAAAAACCAAAACCATAATTTCAAGCCAACTAAAAGCTATATATACCCAAATTCAAACAGACCCACTATAAACCAGTATCTGATGTCAACACCAAATCACTCAGACAGACAGTACTGATGACCACTACCACCAAATGTCCATTTCACTACCCTTTCTCCCTGTTACCTTACTAACAGCAGCAGATACAATTTACCAGTTTTTGAACATATGAAAATAAATTATACATTTATTTACCCTGACTCCATGTTCTCTTTTATTTTAGGCTTGGATTTAGATTTGTTGAGTTGGAGAAGGAATTAAACTCCACAACAGTAACAACAATCTACTGCCTTCCAGGTTACCCATTTTGGACTCTGAAACACTTATAACCATATCATGCACATTTGGCTGTGATGAATGAATCAGACAAGGTGTCATGAAGGGTATATTGGATTTTGTATATTTGTAATCCAGCATCTCATGGGAGTAGTAGTAGTAATAATAATGTCATTAAATAAGGTAGGACTTAAAATAAGACACCAACTACATTTGTCACTTTTTTTTTTTTTTTAAATGTCACAGTGTGTAACAAAATTGTATGTCACTTAGCAAAGGATGCTAAACAGTGTTCAGTCTGCTTCTATATCTTTTTTTGTTGTGAACTACCACTTCTATGTCCTACATCCCTTCAAGACATGACTCTTCACAACTTTCTATCTAGTGTAGCTCTTAACAGATTTTCTCCTTTGCTAAGGTCTTACCCCTCCAGTTCTGCCATCCATTCACACAAGCTTGTCAGGTAAGTGGCTTGCTGCCTTCCCTCTCGCCCTCTTAATTATTGAGTATAAGTGTTCTTACATGTGCTGTCTTAATTAGAATTCTATGTTCTTTTTTCTTTCTTTGCAAATAATTTAATAATAGTAAATTTTGTATTAATTTTAACACTTTAACACTGTGCGGATTAAAATTTCCAAGTCCTCCTTCATCATTATGTGCCCAAGGAATTTCAGTTCTCTCTCTTCCTGATTTTGAGTGTAAGTGTTCTTTCTGTTGCCATTTTCTTTAAGAATTCCTTGTTGCTTACACATGCTGTCCACAGAATTCTCAGTATCCTTCTGTAGTACCACATATTGGCTGCTTCCAGTTTTCTCCTCATCTTTAGGGAATTTGTCCAACATTCACTGCCGTATGAGAAGATGGATACCACATTGCAATCCAACAATCTTTTCTTTGTTTCTAATGATTTTTTTTTTTTAATTCTCAACAACTTATTTTGTTTATGGAAACTAATTGCTCCTGTTGGTGTCAAGTATTCCCTTTAGACAAATCCCAGAAATGATTGACAAATTCTGCCATTTTATTCTTCAAGTCCTGGAATGAAGAACTGATATGCAATGATCCACAGAAGAATTCATCTTTAAAAAAATGACACAAAACCAACTCATCCAAGTTGGAAAGAAAGTCCCTCTCATATTTTTTGACAATCATTTTTATTAGGGTAGTTATTAATACTTACATAAAATAAGCATTTAATTAGTATTCTATTTTCTTTTTTCTTTCTTTGCAAATAATTTAATAATAGTAAATTTTGTATTAATTGTAACACTTTAAAATGAGCTTAAACAAGTGTCATTCCATCATCAAGTAGAACTTGAATTTTTACCTATCGTGAAGAATGGGTGTCCTCAGAAAGTCTATTGTAATGCAAACTCAATCCAGACCTCAAGTGGAAGTCATACATGGGATCCATCACTAAAGATGTTGGAAAAATGGTTAGTTCTCTGTACCGTTCCAGTAAATACATGATTCCTGTTATCTCTACCTTTACAGCTACAGCCAAATCAGACTGAAAATGTATTCTTGCTATGTATGGGCAGTCTTCACTTTCTAGTCTCAATAGATTCCAAAAGTGTATACATGTCCTTGTGGATGATGAATTATTTTCACTTTCTCACAGATGAAACACAGCAAGCCTCTCATTATTCCGTCACTAGTTTTAAGGAAATTGTTCAAGCAAATTATATTCCTTAGTTTCGCCAGTTCTAACCTTTACACCAAAGATCCGTTATGTCATGCACATTGTAGCAAACTACTCCTTCACTTTGTATTCCATTAGTGAAATATAATTTCCACACAAACAGCTTCTTCCCATGAACTGCTACTTTGTGGAACTCCCAAGAAGATGCTTCCCCAATCACTACAACCTTAACCTGTTCAAGTCTAGAATTAACTGTTACCTTTCCCACATATCCCCATAAACTGTACCTTTTACCCCTTACACTAACCCTCTACCTTGAGTGGCTCTTGGGTTTTGTACAGAGTAAATATTGTAATGAAACTGGCAAGAAATATTTGTTCTGTTGATAGAAATGATGATTTAGATGCCAATGATGGTTTGGGCAAATTTGATTAAAAAATTTTTCTCTTAATGACCAATTTCAGTTAATATTGAGCTTCCACAAACTAAACTGAGGAAAATCCCCTAAGCAAACTGCATGAGAATTAATTAAGTTCAATAAAAGTCATGTTACAATCATAAAACATATTCGTGAACTCATAAGTGTCTAAACTTGGTCAATGGGTCCTGAATAATCTCAGCTTAAATCAAAGAGTTGCCCTCTGCTTGTCATTGAAAAAAAAAAAAAAAAAAAAAAAAAAAGACTTACCAAACCTTTTCTAGATAGAATCATCATCAGTGACAAAAAGTGAATTCTCTATAATCATTGTATCAAAACTTGAAGAATTTTATGCTAAGAGATCAGGAGTTTGCCAAGTAAATGGGATTATTATTAATAATGAAGGGAAATATTTTGATTAAATATTATTGTGTTCTGAATTGATATTGTTCCCATCATTTATCTACCTCAGTGACACCTTGCTTTTTAAGGAACGCTTTTAGACCCATCTCTATCCAACCACTTTCAGCTAGGACCCACTTCTAGCAAAAGGACTAGAATCAATCCAGCATGGAATCCATCTAAATATTTCTGATATTCCAAGCATCATCAGTAAGAACTGCCAACTTTCTCCTCTCTTAGTATATATCTATATTAAGTTTTCATTTGTCCCAGCATTCCTTAATTAACATTATCACCTTTTTTTTTTTTAAAAAAAAAAAAAAAAAAAAATCACATGCAAGCCTTAATTTCATCTTGCTTATTTTCCCTGTCCTACTTTCTTATAAGTTCTACTTTTCATGTTCATTCCTAATTCTTTTAACCCTTTTTATGTAAGAATCTTCAATTAAGCTTTTGGATTTCTAAGTTATATTAGGATCTTGCTAACAGTTCCTTGTTTTTACATTGTGTTTATGTTTTGTTGAAACTTTGTTTATTTCATTTCTTTTTCAGTTTTAACCTTTCTTGACGGTTAACAAACCTGTAGATAAAACCTAGTTGAACAAAGCTTCAGAGTCTTAATTGCAGAAAGACTGTTAAAGGGATGCATGCATTTCTCAAAATGGATGCATGTCTGGAGACAATACAAATATATCAAATCCAAAGAAGCATTTGTTTCTTTTGGCTTTAACAGCATATTAATATTTTTCAGGTTATTTAATACTAAATTATGTCATCTTGATAAACAATAAGTTTCAGCATGCACAAAAGTAAAACCTCCAAAAAAGTAGACATTGGTCTAGTCTGCACAAAAAATCAAAAACAGACATTCATATGGCAAACAAGTAGTTCCTTTTGTGGGAGGTATACTGATCCACATGGGGATGAAGTCAGTGTATCCTTGACCCCAACTGACTGTTTAGTTAGGGTTGTTTTTTTTTCATCTTCAAATGCAACAGTACTTCCTTTCAACCTAATAATCTAAGGATTTAATAATGATTATTGTAATAAAAAAAAAAGGTTGTTGGTTAATGTGATTCATTGCTTAAAACCTGACTCTTCCAAATTGAATCATAAAAAAAAAAAAAAAAAAAAAAAAAACGTAATGAAAAAAAAAAAAAAAAAAAAATTATACAAAATATTAAAAAAAAAAAAAAAAAAAAAAAATGGAGTTCCACTTGAAAAATTGTTTTAATTATAATAATACTTATAATAATTACCGATTTCCAAGAGGGAGTTTATAAGTCTTAGCTCCTGCAGCCAAAGCAGTCAGTTGGTTTCCCATACAAATGCCAAAAATTGGTTCTGGTCTAGTGCTCTCAATCACCTGCAAATATGCAAATCAAAAACACTTTAAAAAAATAAATAAAATCTTTAGATAATAGATTAATGATAATAAAAAAAATATTAACTAGTTGAAATCTTCATGATACATGAAAGAACAAAAGAATATGATGGTTGAAGAAACAACATCAATTTGCCAAATCTATGTAAGCCACTATAGCAAATGATAATAAAATGATAATATTATATATATATATATATATATATATATATATATTATACCTCAATTAAAGTTGCAAAGTGTTTTATTAATTTGGAGGGGGTGCTTTTGTTTTGTAAACCAAAATTTATTTAAAAAGTAAATAGAAAATATTTATGTATAAACACAATACTAACTCTTAAAATAGCAAACAATGAACAAGTTTCAAATGATAATGACTTGAAGAGATTTAGATGGAAATGATGTGAATGCTGGCTGAAAAGTTCATAGACTATAAATGAGTGATGCTAGAACTGTAAAACTCAGTATGCATTAATTTAATCTCTTATGAATAACTACATTGTTTCTTTTCAGGTAAACTGATATCTGACTGTTCAAAGAAAATTGTTCATCTAGTTAGTCTAAAAAGTCATCAGTGAGTCACCTTGAGTCAAAACATATTTGTTGACTAGGTTTCTGATAAAATAATTATTTTACCACCTAGCCACACTAATGTTCTGATGTGAACACACTTCCCAAAAGTCATTAGAAAAAAAAGTCAATTAAAAAAAAAACAAAGAGTCATTGAAAAAAATGTTTTAAAGAGTCATTCAAAAAAAGAGTCAATAATAAAAAAAAAAAAAGAGTCATTTAAAAAAAATCATTTAAAAAAAATTCATTTAAAAAAAAAAAAAAAAAAAAAAAATTCATTTAAAAAAGGTTTTTAAATGATTTTTTTAAATGAGTCATTTAAAAAGTCATTTAAAAAAAAAAAATCATTCAAAAAAGTCATTTAAAAAAAAAAATCATTTAAATATGAGGCATTCAAAAAAAGTCATTTAAAAAAAAAAAGTCATTTAAAAAAAAAAAGTCATTTAAAAAAAGAGTCATTTAATAAAAAAATCCTTTAAAAACAAAAAGTCATTTAAAAAAAAAGACAAAAAAAAAAAGTCATTTAAAAATGAATCATTTAAAAAAAGTTTTTTAAATGATTTTTTTAAATGAGTCATTTAAAAAAGACTCATTTAAAAAAATCATTTAAAAACGTCATTTAAAAAAAGAGTCATTTCAAAAAGAGTCATTTAAAAAAATCAAAAAAAAAAAAAAAAGTGTCATTTCAAAAAAATCATTTAAAAAAAAAAGTCATTTCAAAAAAAATCATTTAAAAAAAGAGGCATTGAAAAAAAAAATCATTTAAAAAAAATTATTCAAAAGAGTCATTAAAAAAAAAAAAAAAAAGAGTCGTTCAAAAGTCATTTAAAAAAAGTCATTAAAAACAAAGAGTCATTTAAAAAAAGTCATTTAAAACAAAAAGAGTCATTTAAAAAAGTGTCATTGAAAAAAATCATTTAAGAAAGAGTCATTTAAATTCATTTAAAAAAAGTGTCATTTAAAAAAAAGGAGTCATTTAAAAAAAAGAAAAAAAGAGTCATTTAAAAAAAAAGAATCATTTAAAAAAAGTCATTCAAAAGACTCATTAAAAAAGTTATTCAAAAAAAAAAAAAAATCATTTAACAAAATAAAGTCATTCAAAAAAGAGTCATTTAAAAAAAAAAAAATCATACAAAAAAAAAAAGTCATTTAAAAAAATTTAAAAACGTTATTAAACAAAAGAATCATTTCAAAACATCATTTAAAAAAAAGAATCGTTTTAAAAAATCATTTAAAAAAAAATCATTTAAAAATGAGGCATTCAAAAAAAAGTTATTTAATAAAAAAAAAGAAAAAAAAGTCATTTAAAAAAAAAATCATTCAAAAAAGAGTCATTAAAAAAAGAATCATTTAAAAGAATGTCATTCAAAAAAAAAAAAAAAAGTCATTTAAAAAAAGAATCATTTAAAAAAATCATTTTAAAAAAAGGCAGTCAAAAAAAAAAAGTCATTAAAAAAAAAAAAAAAGAGTCATTTAAAAGTCATTTAAAAAAAAGAACCATTTAAAAAAAAGAGTCATTTAATAAAAAAAATCCTTTAAAAACAAAGTCATTTAAAAAAAAAGTCATTAAAAAAAAAGTCATTTAAAAAAAGGGTCATTTAAAAAAATCATTTCAAAAAGTCATTTAGAAAAAAAAAAAAAAAAAAAAAATCAATCAGAGTCATTTAAAAGAGTCATTTAAAAGAAAAAATCATTTAAAAAAAAAAAAAGAGTCATTTTAAAAAAAAGAAAAAAAAAAGAAAAAGTCATTAAACAAACTAATTAAAAAAAAAGTCATAACTTTGGTTTCTAGTGAGAGAATATTTGCTTATTTCTTTACTTTATACAGTTAAATAAAAAGAGTAAGATTCAGTTTAGATAACACAGTGGACACAAAAAGCGTTCAGTTTAACATGAGACTTGCATTGTAAATTGTTCCTCTCAATAAGAAGTTATAGAATTTTCAAAAAACTAATTTGTAAAACCCATGGTCCAGAGAAAATCTGATGTCCATAGCTCGAGACATTGTTGTGGTTTGAAATTTAGAGACATACAGACAGACAAAAATGTCATTTGGTGAATATTATTAAGATTTCTATAACAAAATGTCTATTCATTATACCAACCTATTGCACATAAACAAACTAACTTAATAGTTATACCAATATGTTATTTAGTCATCCTTCTGTTAAATAGAAATTAAAGTTCCAACCACTTTCCACAGAATTCTTACCTTCCGCAAGTGTTGGATGGTGTCTGTACTTAATGCTGGATCACCAGGGCCATTGGAAAGAAAGAGGCCATCATATTCTTCTTGGGTGAAATCATAGTTCCAAGGCACTAATTTCACCTCAGCACCACGCTGTAATATCAAGAGGAAAAGAATACAAATTTAGAAATTAACAGGCCACAGACACAATTCAGAGTAAGAATTGTTGACTGGGGAAAAAAAAAAAAAAAATACTGTAAAATTTTTGTTTGAATTTCTAGCATGAGTCGTTATTATTGATATTATTTACATTTAAAATTCTGTGTCATGTCTCTGCAGAAGGTGGACAATCATGGCTCTCCACAATTTCCTGTCCTTTTTGGCTCTTATCAAATTTTTTTTTTTTTTTTGCTATCTCTCCTAATCCCTGTTCTGCTAACCATTTACACAAGCTCATTTTTCATTTCCTATGTGCCTTGTTCCTTTAGGCAATCATGGCTCTCCACAATTGCCTGTTCTTTGTAGCTGTTGGAAATTTTGATTTTTTTCATTATCTCTCCCAATCCTTGTTCTGCCAACCATTTACACAATCTCATTTATTTTCTGATAAGTACATCATTTTTGTGATCTAAATTATGGTTGTAACTGTTTCTGTATATAACCAATTCATTAAAGCTCTACCTTAAGTGGCTTTTAACCATGTATTTGGTGAACAAAAAAAAATTTAAAAAAAAAAAAAAAAAAAAAAAAAAAAAAAAAAAAAAAAAAAGATAATTTTCAAGCAAGCCAAAAAATACACCCAAGAAGAGTGCCCTACCAAGTAGATAATTCCCAGCAGCTTCTATATATGTAAGGTCCTCCCAATCTTGGATAATCCTCAAGAATCCCCAATGTGAATGCACAAGTAGACAAAACTGATCCAACCTTTAAAACCCATCTTTGATATAATGAAGCAGCTGCCAATAATAACTATGTAAACATTTCTCTTAAGTTTTTAAATTAATTTTTCTTTTCTTAGAATTGTTTAGATTGGTCGTCCAAATTTTTGAAAATCAAAGTTGGCTGGAATGCATGGCGACAGGAGAGAGTTCCAAAAGTGAGAAGTGTGAGAAAAGAAACTAAATTAAGAAAATATATAAATTTAAACAAAATTGGTAACAAGACAAATTTAAACTGACAGTGGGGGGATGTGGGTTATTCTTGCAGCATAAAGTCAGTTGATAGGTTTAAGCTACTATAAAATTCTTAATGAAAAAAGCAAATTCAAAATCAAGGTAAAATAATGTTGGTATTTTTCTAACCTTAACAAGACTTCTGATAATGTTATGTTTGATTCCACAATCAACAGCCAAAATTTTCAAGGGGTTCCCTTTACCATAATATTTCACATCCTGGAAAGATAAAAAAAAAAAAAAAAAAAAAAAAAAAACGAAAACAAATTTGAGGAACTGTACCAGTTTCATAGAAGAATGATACAAAAATTCAAAACATGATAGTGAAATAAAATAAAAATAACTAAAATAGAACGACAAAAAAATGAATTCTGGTAAAGACAGACATTAAATCCAGCTGAACATAATACAAAGTGTGGCAGAAACACCTCCCAAATGATGCTAAGATGTTAGTCGCAATGATATATTCATCTACTTAATGTCTTACCATCATGTGTGAGATATTTCTGCAGCAGTGTGTGTGTGATTATATATATAATCTAGACACACACACTGTGCATGCACCTCTGGATTCTAATATATATATATATATATATATATATATATATATATATATATATATATATATATGAGGATGATCTTAGAGGAGATTGAAAGTACTTGGGTAGGAAGAAAACTTTCCTGATGAATTTCATCTTAACTCAAGAAACTGATTAAAGAACTGAAAAGGGCCAGAATAAAATTAAATAGATATAATATGGCTATATTATTCAATGAAAAAAAAAATATATATTTTTTAACCACATGAAACACAAAAGTGAAATAAAACAGCTAACAGTCTTCATGCTGCACTTGCATGCAATACTTTCTCCAGCACTGTTTGCAATCTTTTGTGCAATTCTCGAGCCAGCCTCAAAAGTTATGCCCGTCATTAGTAACTGGTTGTCAGAACCTCATAAGTCAAACTTGATGGGAGAGTCCATCACGCACGCACACACACACACACACACACACACACACACATATTGTGGCATAAATACTTATCACATAACTGCTACATAATGGTAAGTCATTAGCTAGATGAAGACACCATAGCCACTAATGTCTTACCATTATGAAGCAGTTATTTTTAGGAGATATGTGTGAGAGGTATTTCTGCCGTACCCTGTATTTAAACTTTGCTATATTTATAGGGGAAGAGTGCTCAGTATTGGAAAGTATTTGCAGAGAGTATGTCTTTTTGCACAAATGGAAAGTATTATCATTTCATGACTCCTGGTACATTTGTCCTGCAAACTTTATTTGGAGAACTCATGTGAGTCTCCGGGATGGTGGGGGGGGGGGGGGTTTGGACACAAAACTTGGAATTTAAAAAAACAACAATTAATGAATGTATTAACAAGACATGTTACAAAAGGGTGAAGAAAGAAATGAAGTTATGAACAGTTCAATACAATCTTCAGTATTTACATGCCTTGCATCTATCAGAACGAAAGGGAACGTCTTGCCACTCCAAAAGCGAAAAAGGGAAAAAACAGAAGAGCCTTTCAAATAATCAAGTATTGTGGCACCTGTGATTATCATTAAGGAGAAGTAATCAACAGCCTAGCAGAATCAGCTTGTTTGTTTGATTAGTAGCATATCAACTCCTTGTGGGTCATTTAATGCCAAAATTTAATTTTCTTGGGAATATTAGTAAGTTTCTTTGCAGAAATATATTGCTGGTAATTTTTTATATTTATTTTTTCTAGAAATGTATTGCTGGTAATTTTTTTTTTCTTCAAGAATGTAATTCCGGTAATTTTTTTTACTATGAAAATGCATTGCTGGTATTTTCACTATAAAAATGTATTTTTATACTTTCATAGTGGTTTGACCTCAGTTTGAGGGTTAACAATTTGCCATTAACTGGGACGCTAATAGTTGCTACCACCCTAGGTCAAGGTGGACATGTGAACAATAACAATTAAGAGGTGGGGAGAATCAATGATACCAGCTAAGATCAGCTGATCTTGTTCTGAAAATTGCTTGAGGTAAGGAATCAGGTAATTTATTTTTTTTTATGACAATAAAAATAAGTAAAATGAGATGAAGAAAAAATTACAAAAAACATAGAACAGTAAAACACATCAACAACAAATCAATAAAGCAACTGCAATACTTTGTGGCCATCTCCCTAAAAAAAAAAAAAGTCCTACTAAAGTATGGCATAAATTTTGTCTAGTCGGATTTCATCTACGTGTTGGTTGTTATTAATTTTACTGTTTAAGAAAATAAAAAAATAGGGATAGCAACTCGGACATGTGTAAAAATAACCAATAGTCATAAGAAATAATGTTAGATTAAAAAAAAAAAATCATCCATTATATATATATATATATATATATATATATATATTATATGTATATATATATATATATATATATATATATATATATATATGGCTTATAAACTTCAATCTTCCATGAATCTCTCACGTACATTCATAACTGCTCATAGCATATCAAATGTAAACAAATGACGTCACACATTATGAAATGGACAAAGTCTGACAATTATTTAAAGATATTTTTATGTTTAACATTCTTTTTATAGATACAAGTATTTTTAGTAAATGTAGGCATTCTGAAAGCAAAGGAAGTATTTGTCATAGATTACTTCCACAACACAAAGAAAAATCACTGTAAGTATAGACTCGGATATCGGGGGGCAGAAAGACATGCTGAAAACTTGATTTGCCGGTACTATCTCAAATCACAATGAGTGTAACCAGTCAGAAAAATAACTCACTCTCTAACAAACGCCGTAGCCAAAATGCCCGAATTTTCCGCTCTCGATTCGAGAACACCAACTGCTTTTATCGGCCGAACATTTTTTTTTTTTCATTCGTCGACAGCTGGGAGAGGATGTTCAGTAATTTGCATATCAAAATACTTTATAGCAACTCCTGCAATGGGCTTGTTTTTTAATTCAAATATTCCATTTTCAGCATGTCATGCGGAATACGTACCCTTTTGTTTGGTAAGTAATTTTCTTTTTCGACACATTTTCTGTCGTAGAGTACACGCGACGCACTGTCACTTGGTTTGATGAGGTAAGTCGCCATTTTCTTCGCTATACTCCCCCCTGATCTCACTATCACAAATCGAACAACCTGGAGCAGCTCTCTTTATCCTGGTGCTTCATCGTAATGGCACTATTTCCCTTACGTGTGCCAGAGAGTCGTCTCCTGAGGAGTCATCAGACGTATCTCAAGTTTCCAGAAGTTCCTTGTCTGTGGAAGCATCAGATTTGCAGATCTCAATTATTCGATCACTGTCAGACGATGAATCATCATTGGATTCACTCGGCAATGTATCAGAATCAATGAAAATTCGAAGATCTTTTACATGCCGTGGCATCCTGTCAACTAGTATTGTTTGTGGACTTACAATGTCCGTCACGTGACCCACTTGATACCTGGAGGTACACCGGCCGTGGGGAGCTTTCACCCATACTCTGTTCCCAACTTTGTATATATCGTGATACCTACAATGATCAGGTGGTAATGTTGTAGTAATTCCTTTCACTTACAGTTGGTAACAGTGAATCATATTGACAGGTGCATTAGTCGACGATATATCATCCTTCGGCGTGATATTATGCCAGTATACTGCCTCCATTATCGAACAATGCTTTCTTGCTGCAATTCGCTTTATGCTCCGATGAGAACTTTCCACTATACCGTTTCCTGCAAGAACATAGGCACAGCGAAAACGAAGTTGGACTCCCCAGTCATCCAAGAAATCTTTAAAGGACTTACTGCGAAATGCAGTGTCATTGTCGGTCAGGAGTTCTGATGGTGGGCCGCGTAAAAAAAAAAAAAAACACTTTCTAACTGCCGAATGATGCTGCTTGAGTTTTGTTGAAGCAGGCGTCACCATATCGCAGATCTACTATGGCCGCAATCCATTAACGTAAGGTAGTGTTGCCCACCGTAATGTGTAATGATCTAAGCGGGTCCAGATTTCAGTCACACTTAGGTTGCCACAAGGCCAACGACTTGAGTCTGGGTCAATTGACTGGCATTCTTTACATTTTCTGACCACTGCCTTGACAGCCGCCTTGAATGTCGTAGGGTAGACTCGTCATACAAAATATAGCGTCCATCTTACGCCAGGATGTCCACTCTGGCAATGTATGGCACGTATCTGATCAGGAGAGGTTTTGTTCACCATGGAAGCGCATATCGGGCGTGTTGGTTTGATTTCCTTCTTTATCATATACCATCGTTGCGGTACTCTGGTGAGCTTATCCGCTAGATTCTCACTCGACGTTACTAAGCTTATCGTGATCAATAAGTCATACTCTTGAATCAGCTTTTCAAGAGTACTCAAACGCCTCCAGATCAGCATTTCACTTGCCGCCTTAGTTTGTATTCTGGCTTTGCCAGTGAGCATGTTTGATACCCACCGGTGCACACACGCAGAGTCCATGAAGAGGTGTAGCTCAGTTGCGCTCCACTGTAACGCTAAATTGATGACCTTCAGAATAGCATCCAATTCTGATAAATTGATATGTTGGGTGTCCTTCACAGGTCGCAGCCAACATGCGTCTTCTACAACGCTTCTGTCAACCTCCAACGAAACCCCTGTGGCGAGAGAACTTGCATCGACCCATACCTCATAAGCGTGTCTGCTTGTGTACCACTTACCGTGTGCAGGGTCATTCTGGCATATTCTTTCCGCTATGTCCTCAATCATGTTCTTAAGGGGAGCATCTGTCACTTCGTTGTCCCAACCAGACATGATCGATACTGTCCTGCATTTTACAAATGATGCAGCAACACGAAACCACCTACACCACGAGAAGACATTATGTCATGTCAGGACCTCAGAAACTGATGGAATGCCATTTTCATGTGTCCACTTAAGCGTGTTGCTATCTTCTGCGACATGCGAACCCACCACACGTGTGCCGTCCCGTAACCGCTCAGGATCCTTACAGGTCAAACCAAACACAGCCAAGTGCTCTTTCACGCGAGCTGCTGAAATCATGCTCTCGTCAACATAAATATCATCAATATATGATGAGGTTGCCCATCAAACTGACTTGTCTTTCGCCAAAGCGGCGTCCACAATGGCCTTCATTATGGCTGGTGCAACATTCAACCCAAAACCCATTCAGGTCAAGCAATATCTTCGCCCCTTGAAGATTACAGTTTGAAAGGGCCAAAGTGA